ACCGATTGTACGAGATATTATTACGCTCGACTAATTTTCATTAGTTGCGGCACTAGTTCTTTTGAGTTTTGAGAAACTTCTTTCTATTGATATGATTTTACAGACATTTATAATTATTAATTTCAATACTCACAACTCTCGAAAGAATTTCAGTTTCCACGGATAAATAAAATACACATTGTTTGGTACTGGTCAAAGAAAGGGAAGTTGGTCGTTTAGCTCCGGACAGTCTATGCAACGTCTATGCAACGTCCGTGCAACAACAAAAGAACCGTCTATGCAACGTCTATGCAACGTCCCTGCACAATGAACACTCTATGCACACTCCCTGCACGGTCAGTCTATGCAACGTCTATGCAACGTCTATGCAACGTCCCTGCACAGTACCATATGAACACCGGCTACTAGCCGGCTACTAGCCGGCTAGTAGCCACTTTTGTAATAACAGCTCCTCAACTTCACATTAACAACCGGCTACTAACCGGCACTTGAAAAGTGGTCACTAGCCGGCTACTAACCGGCTACTAGCCGGCTAGTGACCACAAAGTGGCTACTAACCGGCTACTAAGCGGTCACTAGCCGGCTATTAGCCGAGCTCTAAAGCAGACCTATTAGTAGCCGGTTCTAAACCGGCTACTAGCCGGCACTTGAAAAGCGGTCACTAGCCGGCTACTAACCGGCTACTAACCGGCTAGTAACCACCAAGTGGCTACTAACCGGTCACTAGCCGGCTTTTCGAGTGCCGGCTAGTAGGTCCGCTTAAGAGCCGGCTAGTGACCGGTTAGTAGCCGGTTAGTAGCCACTTGGTGGTTACTAGCCGGTTAGTAGCCGGTTAGTAGCCGGCTAGTGACCGCTTTCTAAGTGCCGGCTAGTAGCCGGTTTGGAACCGGCTACTAGTAGGTCTGCTTTAGAGCTTGGCTAATAGCCGGCTAGTGACCGCTTAGTAGCCGGTTAGTAGCCACTTTGTGGTCACTAGCCGGCTAGTAGCCGGTTAGTAACCGGCTAGTGACCACTTTTCAAGTGCCGGTTAGTAGCCGGTTTGTAATGTGAAGTTGAGGAGCTGTTATTACAAAAGTGGCTACTAGCCGGCTAGTAGCCGGCTAGTAGCCGGTGTTCATATGGTACTGTGCAGGGACGTTGCATAGACGTTGCATAGACGTTGCATAGACGTTGCATAGACGTTGCATAGACTGACCGTGCAGGGAGTGTGCATAGAGTGTTCATTGTGCAGGGACGTTGCATAGACGTTGCATAGACGGTTCTTTTGTTGTTGCATGGACGTTGCATAGACGTTGCATAGACTGTCCGGAGCTAAACGACCAAGTTGCCCAAAGAAATAAGGATAAAAACTCTCTCAGAAAACAAACACTCGCACACAGTGTGAAACATGTATGTAATTAATAAAAATATGCCCTCAAAAAAAGTTAAAACATTTAATTATAAACTAAATCACAGACCTAGGAACACACAATTCATCACTATTTCAATATTTCATAGTTTGATTTTTTGTTTAAAATTGTGTAGCTCAAAACTTTTTAAATTCAAAACCTCAAAATTGTCTCAAAATAGTCCGGTCCATTGGTGCTCAACATATAATTAGTTCCTTATTGATTGTGGTGATTGCAAGATTGTGGTGCATCGTGGTGCTTCAATACTTCGGGAATGCAGTCTTTTCACAGCTGTTGTCCTTGTAGTTGTAAGTCAGAAACTCAATTATAAGTGCCCTGAAATTATTAATGTAAAAATTTGCTGTAAAAAACTTATTTTATCATTAATCTTCAGTGTTGCAAATTAACAACTCAATTTTTATACTGCAATCACTGTGATTATCCAAATTCCCCGTAAAGCTGTACGGATTTGTAAAAGTTGGATTCTATAACTATTATTAATGTTGGCCTCATAAGCCGTTTAATTTGAGAAAGCCCCCGTTGGGTTATAGTATTTGAATATTCATGTTTTAGGGTGCCATTACCTGACCTGATAAACGTTGGTTTCTTTGTCTCACCTTGAATAGACGAAGGAACAGCTCCTTCTTGCGGTGTCTGTATTAGTAGAGGCTCTTACGGGCTTTGTCTGCTAGATACACTAAAATCACCAGACCCATCTTAAAAGACGTATTTTTGACCGTAGAATCGATTAAAAGTGGTTAGAAGTGTTTAAAATGGGGTTACCTGGTTTTATTTTGAAAAAACCGATTTTTGGCCCCAAAAATGGCCATTTTTTGAGGTTTTTTAGAAATTTCGACAGGTTAATTGAATCGAAAAGCTTAGATATTTTGGGATCTTGTACATTTTTATTTGCCGCACTAGTTAATACCAATTTAATAGGCATACACAAGAGTTTACCTGGTCAAAATTTTTAAAAACCTCCCAAAAAAAACGTTTTTTCGCGCGCTAAATTTTTTCGGCTCTTTACACACCCACAATGAAATATTTTTGCTCACAAAGTGTTTTAATACTGTCCAATAATACTATTTGATAGTTTTTCAGCGTAAAAACAAGTTTCGAAAGCGGAAGAAAAAATTATATTTTTCGTGGTGCTGAGCACTTTGAAATTTTTGGAATAAAATCGAGCGCTACCGTAAAATTTTAGTAACCCTTCCCTGAAACTCATTTAAGTTTTTGTACCGGTAGTGTTTTGTCCTTTTCTGAAGTTCATGCCTTAATTTCATATAATATTGTTTAAAACAGCACAGTAAAGTGTTTTATAACAGTAGAGTGCCATTTCTAATTCTTCAATGTTATATTGTTGAGATACCTTTACTACACTTGGCTGATTACCTTTTGTCAATACAATTTCACCAATTTAGTATTGCATTGCTTATATGACTATTTGGATTTATAATTTATCGATTGTGGGTATGAATTAACTTTTGGTTCACAATCAACAATAAAATGTCTACTGTATGGTACCCTTACAAGATTAATTATAGATCTTTTGACAGGAATGCCTGACTTAAACCCCCTCATCCATCACTCATTCCGTTTTACCTGTTGGATGTGGAGGAACCCTACCACAAACTGAAGTATTGTAAAGGTACCCTTCAGTAGATAAATAGAGCACTGTAAATAATATAGATTAGTTACTGTTATCTTCTCAATGCAATTTTGAATACATGTCAGGAACACCTGACTTAAACCCCCTCATCCATCACTCAATCAGTGTTGCCTGTTGGATATGGAGGAAATCTACACCACAAAGTGGAATATTGTAAAGGCACTCTTCAGTACACATAAAATAGAGCACTGCAAATAATATAGATTAGTTGCTGCTATCTTCTTAACATGATTTTTAATTTATAAATAGTAGTAGAGTAAATGTCAGGAATGCCTGACTTAAACCCCCTCATCCATCACTAATTTCGAATAAATGTATAGATGCTGCATTGAATTCATGAAGATATCATTCGTTTTGAGCAATCATTCCCTTAGCTCCCCCATTCTTTGATTGTTTCAAAGAAGTGGTCAAACTACAATATGTATTGTTTAGTTACATCTATTGCTTGTTATTTAAGCCATTTCATCTCTAGTAGATTCAAATAATTTCTGCAATTCTGAATTATGTTGCTGAACAAACTTGACAATCACCATTAGAAAGAAGGTGACATGTTTATGGACCCAGAACTAGCTAAGACAGCTAAGACTCTGTGTACATGCGAATCACTTCAAGAATCTTCTTGATGAAAGAAGCTTGTGTGGTTTGTTAAAAGACTTCGATCCGCTCACAGCCATGCAGATTAAGACGAATTTAGATCGACATTATTTTGAAACAATGAAAACTCAAATGGTTTGATTTTTAGCTAAGTTACCATAATTATTATAATTAATTAAATACAGGCTGACAATGTTTCATTTCACAAAATGTATCTGAATAATGTAATTTTAACTGAATCTTAAGCTGTTCAAAAAGCTTTGTTAGATGATGTTATCGATGCTGTATAAGTTGAAACCTTTTGATGATGAGAGGTACATGAACAAACCTACACTAAACAATACTACATTCCAGCTTGAAACGAAATGAGTGGAGTTGAACGACGCCTGTTTATCGAAACTACATCAATCAACTTTTCAACTATGTAGGTTATTAATGAAATGAAATGAAATACTACTACTTTGTCGGAACTAAGTCCGATCTACGCCAGATAACCCCCTCCATATATCCCTGTCCCGCATCAGAGTTCACAGTTCCTCTTTTGAGTTTGTCCCAATTTCCTTCAGTAACATAGACAAGTAGCTTTGTCTTGGTCGGCCTTGCTGTGCTCTACAATGCATAGGTTTCCATAAGACTAAATCACTGGCAAGTAGCTCAGGATGTCTGATGCAGTGTCCCGCCATTTTTAGTCTCCTGCTTCGTAACTTGTTTGACAGCCTTGGTAGACTACCATACAAAGTTATATTGCTGACCTTGTCCTTCCATGAGATACCCAGCACCATACGTAGCATCTTTGTGTATGTCCCGTCCAATACAAATGAAATAAATTATTTTTATCACGCTTATATCAACAATCAAAATTAAAAACTTATGGACGTATATCACTCATTATTATGTATCACTCTCTAACATCTTGTCCTCACTACAAATATTACCACTTCTGATATAATAATGTTTTTTTGTGTCTTCTTTGGCTCTGGCATGGCTCCAGCTCAAAATCTTTGGGTGGGTGCAGCTTGGCGCACGGTGGGGGGGGGGGGGGGGGGGGGGGGTGAAGCCCCCTGGAAAATTTTGGAATTTTACTCTCCTAAACATATTTTAATATCTCCAAAACAGTCTCAATTGATTGCAGAAGTCAATTGACCCTTAGTTTTAAATACAAAATTTGACAATTTTTGTGTGAACATTTTCAAATCGTTTGGGTGGGTGCAACACCCTTTGGGTGGGTGCGCACCCACCCGAACCTACACGGTGGAGCCATGCCTGCTTTGGCTATCTGTTTTATTTCCAAGACCAACTGCTGATGGATAACTCGATCTTCAGGTGATCGATCTGGAGAGATGAAAACAGTCTTATGATCTTCACACAGTCTCAGCTTTTTGGCATTTACTAATATCTGATGAACGGTAAGTTAGAATTATCTAGCGAAACTTTGACTGGTCTAGTCTTGTTGGCTGATTTTCTCCCAACCCAGATAGCTTCAAAACGTGGTTTTTCTTCAATCTGCTGAAAAATCACGGTAACTTTATTGCACAGTTCCTCTTCATCAGTCTCCTTCAAACCAAAGATGAGCACATTCCTACTGCGATCCTCTTCCGATACACCATCCTGTACAACCTTTTTTAAATTCTCTTCTGCAAGCACAGGTGCATTTTTAGTCACAGCTTGACTGTATGACTTCATCTCAGCTTGGACAGTGTCTTGAACGGCGGTCTTGACGGTGGAGTGCATGGATTCCAACTGCTTCGATTTAGTTTCCAGAAATTCAGCCTGCAGCTTGATAACAGTACTTTGCGATCGGATAAGATCGCTCTTCAACTCCTCCATATCTTTCTTGTTATCCAGAAACGTACTTACATGATCATCGGTAGTCTGATACGCAGAATACAAATTATAAATGTTTTACTGAAACTGACTTCACTGGTTTTTTGAACGTTTCAACTGAAAACTCAGATTTATTGTCACAGTTCGTAGCTTCCGCGAGTTCAGTGATCCAACCGTTATAGACCTCATACTCTTCAGTAATGTAGCTAGGTAGAATAAACTGACAATCTTTGAAGAGTATCCATTTCCTCCATCGATTACTTGTACTTGTATAAAGTAAAAACACAGTACCAGCAAAATGGCAGTTGTAATGTAGCGATAAAATAGAGATATGAGCTAGTAAAACAAATTTTTTTTAGTAAAACAAATTTTATTTTATACCCACAATCAATTCATATTTAGTTCAAATATTTAAAGTCCAAATATCCATTTCACATAAGTGGTTATATTATAATAAAATAATTTGTGATAAATTAATAAATTAATTTACACTCAAAAATGAACAAAATATACACAATTTTTACCTAGTGCAACACTGGTTCAGCGCGCGGCTGATCGAAAAAGTTTGATTTGATTTACTAACTACAGTGTACAGCGTACATGAAAAAATTACTTACTGAATCCTTTAATACTAGACACATTTTAATTCAGATGTTGTTCAATGAGTTAGCCACAAAAATGTTCAAATTATGTAGGAGGGTAAAGGACACAATTGCTAGTAGTGCTTCTTTGTGCCCGTTGACTACAATGAACATTTTGCGGAGTTTCTCCAGACGGCTTTTATCGGAGTGCGTGTTATTTACTTGGTTATGCACAAGCCAGGCCAACATTTTGTTTTTGTGTCAGCCGTGCTACCAGGTTGCAGAGTATTATAAACACTAAACAATTATACACTATACAAATTTGCTAATACAATATCATGCAGAGTCCGATCTAGCTGCAAACGTCAGACACCACAGTTCAGCCGCCAAGTACCGTTTAAGTGAACACCGAAACACGAGGTTTAGGTGTCATTTTGTAAATCACTTTATGGATGGATAATTCAGTAATTGTTGAAGAAAATTACAGTCACTGCCACCTATAGCGTTATGTCATGGGTCTGATTAACGGCCAAGAATAAACGTACGTGCGCGCTTAAGAAACCCGCGCAAATGTTGAGGTAGGGAGTAGCTGCGGCGCGCTTTTAACATATATTACGTATAGCGCCGTACGGAAACGGCAATATTTAAGTAATTAAGTATTTGTTTACATAAATTCCACGTTTTTATCAATAATCTAGCATGGTCCAAAACTGTTAAAGTTGTCATTATGCCACTCATTATCGAACCTGCTTTGGGCATCTAGAAGAGATCGGTTTAGCCTTGATTTGATTGCTATCAAGATTGCTAGATTATCAACACGTAAAAAAAACTGTAAAACTGTATCATAATATTATTATGCTTTTAACATCATCTGTTGTGATATACATGACAAAGGGTTGGAAATGTACAGTAACCTTACTATATTGCAATTACACAATATTATGTGAACGACCCCTAACCCCTTATCTAAGGCTCTATAAGTATTGAATAATGATAACTGCAGGATTTCAAAATGTACAAGGCATCATATCAAAGATTGCATATGCCCGAAAGAAGGACAAATCCAATTTGGCTCTCTGGATGTATGGAAAGCTCTCAACCTTCCAGAAAAGGACTGTTCAAAGGAACACTTAAATCCCTCCGACAGGTAATTATTATAAATAATAATTTAGTCTACACTTCATTATGTCAAATCACCTACCATAATGAAGAACTAAAATTGTTGTGTTACCGTAACCAAGTTTAATGTGACTCAATTTTGGTGGAACTTTAGAATTTGGACGTTATATCTATCATGTTCATCTTAAATCTCATATTATATACTCAATATTCAATTAAACAGACAAAGATAACCTCTCTAGGCCCTCTGGTGGTGACGTATAAGTGCTTTCTCAGTACTTTCTCTCGCTTTTGGACAAATCCAGTGAGTTAACTTTTTATCAGTGGTCGACCGGGGGCAGGATTCTGACCGGGGCCGGGGAGCCCCAATATAGCCGGGGCCGGGGCTGACCACTGAGAATTGGCCGGGGCCAGGGTTTACCCCCGGAGAATTGCCAATTTTTGGCTGGGGGTTGTGATTTTGGCCAGGGGGCACCGGGCGACCACTGCTTTTTATGTCACGATTTTAAAACTTTATTCATAAGTTTATGAAACATCAAAACTTTGCATGCTCTGCATTATGTAAAGTCAGTCATGCACTAGAGCACAGTTCACATATAATAACCTAATCCAGCCTAGGGGAGGGGGTTTGAAATCGCTTGTGCTAGAGTGATTTATACTCAATAGCTATGTGAAAAGTGGCTCAAGGAGGGGAGACCGACGTAAACAATTTTGAATTGGTAGAAGTTAAGTTTAGGCTTTAATAAAAAACTTCACCGGACCGTTCCAAGCTGCCTACAAAGCTGGCAGGAGCTGTGCCGACCTAGTTTGGGCACAGAGCATGCTCATATCTGTAGTAATGAAGTTCAAGGAGTTTGAATGGAACAAAGTGAGTATTGACATGTCAGCTGCCTTCAATACCATCCGCAGAGGTACAACAATCAGACTACTAGAAGCTGCAGGATGCACCAGAGACGACCTGAGGCTTGTACAATACCTCATGGCTAACACCACTCTAGTAGTCAGAGTGTGTTCTACTGACTCAGAGATGTTCTCTTTCAACATAGGAGCCTCCCAAGGAGACAGCACAGCTGGTAAATTGTTTACCCTCAATCTAGCTGGAGCTGTAGTGCACATAAGAGCAGTCCTCCCCTCAACCCCCAACCCTCCGATAGCTGATAACCACATGCCTCTTGAGTCCGGCTATTCAGACGATGTAGAGGAGATTGGTGAAGATATGGAGGAGTTACAGGATATCTTTCAGATCTCCAAGAATATTCTCAGTGAATGGAGTCTCTTTGTCAATGACACAAAGACAAAGTTTACCAGAGTGTATTTAGAAGAAGTTGGTGCATGTGACGAGTGGGATAATGAACTAAGAGGAAAAGAGGAGTGGAGAAACGAGACGCTTCTTGGTACTAAGCTTCGATCAGAGCAGGATGTTACTAATAGAATGAATAAAGCTTACACCGCCTTCTGGTCATTTGACAAGCTGTGGTGACAGGGATCAGAGAGGAGTCAGATAACTGAGAAGAGAAAGATCAAACTCTACGACTCACTAGTAGTATCAGTACTCCTGTACAACTGCTGCTGCTGGGCCGTACCTCAGCATGTTCTAGAGTCTGTAGATGTTGTTCAGAGGAAGCACCTCAAGCGCATCCTACACATCTATTGGCCTAGCTCAACATCTAACAAGGCCCTCTACGCTCGTACCCAGACCAGGCCCCTTTCCGAGAGAGTGGAAAAGGCACGGTGGACAATGCTAGGTCATGTTCTACGCAGTGACAACGACACGCCTGCCTACCAGTCTCTGTTATTTGCTTCACTAGGATGTCAAACACTAAAGGGACGAGTGGGTAGACACAGGACTAATTTGTATGATATTATTGTGAAAAAGGACCTATTTAAGAGACAAATTTATTTGAAAAATGAAGATGATTTTACCAACTTAGTGAACTTAGCAAGAGATAGAGTAGGATGGAGGAGTTCATTTACTTTGAGACATATTGAACGAATGAGTCTTCGTAAGCGTAAATAGGCCAGCACTTTGCTGAGCCTCTTTAGGTGCTCTTTTGTTTATAGATGTTATTATATATTTAAAGAATATCATTCTTTTACCACATACATAAGACTTTGCCGTAGGGTATACAAAAATGTGACCATTCATCAATTTTCAGAGTGCTGTATCTGTACCCGAATAGAAATAAAGGATTTTAATGACACAGTTTTCTTCCGCTCTGAAAGTGAACGAATTACAAAACAGTCTAGAGAATTCCTCGCCCTGCTGCAGAAGATCAATCCTGGGTTGTGCTCACCAAAGCAAACCTCTTTTTTTGTGTATTCAGTGTCTTGTAACTATGTAAAAGACAACTATAACAGGTTGAGTGGTTTCCTCCTGTTTTACTAACATTTAAAAACATCAGGAGGTGACCGGGATTCCCGGTACCGGGATTGGCAATTTTGAGCTATCCCGGTCCCGGTCCCGGTCAAATGCTGATTTATTTATTTATGATCCCGGTCCCAGTCCCGGTCCCGGTTAATTCGGGATTCTTGGTCCCGGTCCCGGTCCTGGTCTCGGTCAATCACTCAAATTTGCCGGGATTTTGACCGGGATCTTTTACATAATTTCATTCACTGTGATTTTAAGTTTTTCCTTTCATTCATTGTGAATTTCATCTTTAAACATCCTCTGAGCCAAATACAACAATGTTTAAAATTGCTTAACAAGTTTGAGTAATAAATTATGATCATGAATTAACCAGTAATCGACCGGAATTCCCGGTACCGGGAATCCCGGTCCCGGGATTGGCAATTTTGAGCTATCCCGGTCCCGGTTCCGGTCAAGTCACATTTTTCATCCCGGTCCCGGTAAATTGATAATCTCAATTTTGAGCTATCCCAGTCCCGGTCCCGGTCCCGGTCCCGGTCAAGTCACATTTTGTATCCCGGTCCCGGTCAGGCCTGAAATCATGTCCCGGTCACCTCCTGAAAAACATTATTATTCAAAGGTAAATAGACAGCGATCAGTAGTAATTTTTAATCCATTTCTATCGGATTTGCAAACTTTTAAAATGATATAACACTTGTACGATCTCAAACTTATGTGATATGATACTGTTGATATAAATGTGGGAAGTAATAATATATTTGCAGGTGTACAGTGCTGTTTCTGAAATTGACGAATCCTCTTGTGATGAAGATTGAAGAAGCTATTGCCGTCCAAGTGGAAAAAGTCCCGCCTCTGTCACCCTCCTCGAATAGAACTAAGAAAATGTGGAGACTTTCTTCATTTAGTTCCAAATCAAGTGGACCAGATGTTGATTTGTTTGAAATGGACTGAGACTTGTGTTTCATATGCCAGGTTGAACAGGTTTGTGTGAAACTTTGCTCGCAAATATAATTATTATACATATTATCTCGATTTAGTTTTAAGAGTATGAGAGGTTATTCTTCTTTAACAATACGAATTTCCCTAGACGTTAGAAACGAAAAAGGATAGTCTGATTCAAGGAAAAGATAATAGTTTCTTCGTCGATTTCGCAACATACTATCTGTGGACATCTACAGAAATCGTCAGGATCTGTGCAACATCGATGTTAATCCTGATTCGCACATGAACAAGTGCCCTGTTCTTAACCCTGAGAGTCTCGGAAAATATCTCTATAGCAAGCTAGGTAGATATCACAAAACATGTCGTTTGAGGTACAGCAACTCGAGGGTGAAACAATTGAAGGGTAAATTATCTGAAGCTGTAAGTTTAAAACCTGTCTCTAAGGCAGGTTTTAAAATAGAAAGACACGTGTCCACGCACGACAACACCAATGCTGCATTAATGAGTGCAGGTATTGATACGGACCTTTTAACTGGAGCAGGAGAATGTTTTACCAGAACTGTACCTCGTGTCTGACCTGAAGCTTAAGTACAATGACTATGTGACGTCTAATTTATCTGAGAACGCTGCAAACTCCAGCAATGTTTAATCTGATCACATCAGTTTTCAGAAAGACAATGTCGGTAAGACGAGTTTGTTTCGACAGCAGAATCGTATCTAATCTTGCCGCAACAATAGATGCGGATAGAGATGATAACACTTTAACAAAGACAGCACTCTTAAAGGAGATTAGAAAAGAAATCTTTCAATGTAGAAACGAATTCTGTCAGAAGATTTATCTTCAAAAACATGTTCGATTTACTGATCGGACTGTAGAAATATAGTGTTTATGTGGATTAATCTGTTAAAGCAGGGCTATTGTATCATTTTAACATTAACTTTGCATAGTGATGATACGTTTATTGTGTCTCTTGTGATTATCTATTTCTACAGTGTTACGGTACCACGAGGTTTCTGGCGCAGTGACGCGCTTTCGAGCAAATATCGTGCTAGATACGTCACGCGCCGCAACCGAATCAGATTTAAGTGCACTTTTTCCATTGTAAACACTACATACGACGCGCAACACGTTCTACGAGGTCGAAATTTTCGAGGTCTCTACCACCGGAATGGAGCAATATTTAGACGATCTGACACTTTCTAGGGCTTAAGCAACCTAAGAGAAATTAGGGGAACAACTCAGAAAAAATTTTTAGTCGATATTCCGGTGTCTGTAGATGTCCGAAGTTTTGGCAGTAAAGTGCTCACAACACAGCTTCTGAAGGCTCTAGAAGGTTCCCGATACCGTCAGAGTGTTCAGTACACTCCATTCTATCATATAAGAACCCTAAAAGAAGTCCCAGGGCTCGAGCAAAGAAGCGTGATATTTGCCCGTAAGAGCCTCTACTATATGATACATTAGGATCTTTACAGCAATAAACCTGCAAATGTCTTTGTTAAATGTGACATTAAACTATATTCTGGATTGTTCTGAGATATTAAGGTTACAATTTCGTCTCTCCCTCAAAAAAGCTAATGTAAATTCAAAATCACAGATTAGCTAAGATAAAGATACTTTAAAGGATCAATTCTTATCTTGGGTATTTGAGAATGATTGTAAACAAACTCAGAAATAGCAGAAAAATTCCCCAACATTAAATCGTCAGTAACACAAGGCTAATAACGCACAATTATTCGATCAAAAGCTTGAGTGTCTTACCATCAACTTAAACTTAATAGGTCCGTGTTAGTACACTTGCTGTTGTGGAGAAGAATCTGATCCGCTTCATGACGAGAGTTGCTAATACGCTCAGACACATCTCGTCTGCTTTTATCTTTTTAAGATATACGGAGTCTACGTCAACACCTGTGATGGTGAATTGTCGTGAATTTTCACTAAAAAACGATAGCTAATTGAGAAATAACATTCAAATTATATTATGGGCTCAGCTGCAAAAGGAATTCGTGATACTACGCCAACATAAATGTGTTCGATAATTTTCCTTCGTTCAATATTTCGTTGACTTACGTTTTCATGTTCTTAACTAACTAGGTCGCCATCTTAACCTAGGATCGCACACTTCTTTTTTACTGGGTTAACTACGTCTTGGAAAGAATTGAACATTGTTACACTAATATGTTTTTGTGAATGTCAAATATCGATTTAAGTCTACAAATATTTTGCGAGAATATCTTAACAAGTAAATAAGTAAATAAACAATATTTTAGGTAACTTACTTTATTGATACTGGTGATTTAGTCTCACTAGCTCATCATTGTACTTCATTGCTTCAGGAATGTAGCCTTTTCACAGTTGTTCTTTGTTACTCAATGCACCTTATAAGCACCTGAAATTATCAATGTACAAATTTGTTCCAGTACAACAAAAACCTATTTTATCAATAATATTCAGTGTCACAATGGTGTTACAAAGTTAATTGATTATGTAATACCAACATGCTATTTGATATTTCTACTGATTTCCTCCCTATTTTTAACGACCCAATTGTTATACTGTAATCACTTTGCTTTTTCCAGATGCACCATGATATAGATTTGAAGTAGTCGGATTCTAACATAAGTAATGTTGAATCATGAGCCGTTTAACTTTATTTTGAGAAAGCCCCCGTTGGTCTATAGTATTTAAATATTCATGTTTTAGGGTGCCATTACCTGACCTGATAAACGTTGGTTTCTTTGTCTCACCTTGAATAGACGAAGGAACAGCTCCTTCTTGCGGTGTCTGTATGATACATTAGGATCTTTACAGCAATAACCTGCAAATGTCTTTGTTAAATGTGACATTAAACTATATTTTGGATTGTTGAGAGATCTTAAGGTAAGAATTTCGTCTCTCCCTCAGAAAAGCTAGTGTAAGTTCAAAATCACAGATTAGTTAAGATAAAGATACTTTTAAAGATCAATTCTTATCTTGGGTATTTGAGAATGATTGTGAACAAACTCAGAAAGAGCAGAAAAATTCCCCATTAAACATTAAATCGTCAGTAACAAGGCTAATCGCTAAGTGCTATAAAACGCACAATTATTCGATCAAAAGCTTGAGTGTCTTACCATCAACTTAAACTTAATAGGTCCGTGTTAGTACACTTGCTGTCGTGGAGGAGAATTTGATCCGCTTCATGACGAGGGTTGCTAATACGCTCAGACAAATCTCGTCTGCTTTTATCTTTTTAAGATATACGGAGTCTACGTCAACACCTGTGCTGGTGAATTGTTGTGAATTTTTACTCGACCGTGTGGAGAATTAGCTGATAACGAGAAAAACGCGAGAAATCGATAGCTAATCGAGAAATAACATTCAAATTATATTATGGGCTCAGCTGCAAAAGGAATACGTGATGCTACGCCAACATAAATGTGTTCGATAATTTTCCTTCGGTCAATATTTCGTTGACTTACGTTTTCATGTTCTTAACTAACTAGGTCGCCATCTTAACCAAGGATCGTACACTTTTTTTTACTGGGTTAACTGCGTCTCGGAAAGAATTGAACATTGTTACACTAATAAGTATTTGTGAATGTCAAATATCGATTTAAGTCTACAAATATTTTGCAAGAAAATCTTAACAAGTGAATAAGTAAATAAACAATAATTTTAGTTAACTTACTTTATTGATACTGGTGATTTAGTCTCGCTAGCTCATCATTGTACTTCATTGCTTCAGGACGGCAGCCTTTTCACAGATGTTCTTTGTTACTCAATTATAAGCACCTGAAATTATCAATGTACAAATTTGTTGCAGTACAACAAAAACTAATTTTATCATTAATTTTCAGTGTCACAAAGTTAATCATCATGTTGTTACAAAGTTGATTGATTATATAATACCAAAATACTATTTCTACTGTTACCCAATTGTTATCCTGTAATCACTTTGCTTTTCCAGATGCACCATAATAAAAATTTGAAGTAGTCGGATTCAAATATAAGTAATGT